ATCTGGCCGAGTGCCCTTCTTAATGAATCACCCTGTACAATCTAGCAAGGTTCAACTGTGACAGGTGCCCTCGAAAAAGTTGAAGTGGATAGAAATAGCGTTTTTCATTTGTCGAACCAGTGCAAAAAAATGTATCCTTATCCAGAGCTGTCAGTACTTCAAGTAAATTACTTGGAAAATGTATTTCAATTACTTTTTAGTATTTGAAGTACTATAATTCAAATACTTTTGTTTCTGAATATTTGTACTTGATTCTGCAATTACTTTAAATAAAGTATTTGTATTTGGTACTTCGATTTACAAAAAAAGTAATTCAAATACTGGACATTTGTACTCAAAATACTTTAAATATTTCAAATACCCCAAAAAATAGAAAGTATTTGAAATACCCCAGAAAGTAATTCAAATACTTCACCCAATGTGAAATTAACATGTCCTACAGCAGATATGACTGAAGATTTTTTCGAACTGGATGGTTCCCACTCCCCGGGAGAGTCTTTATAATAACAATAAAAGAAAATTCGAACTGGAAATTCTTCAATATGCAGAGGATACCAGTATAGATATAAAATCCTTGGATAGGTTTCCTGTCATAAAAGAAATTTTCCATAGGTATAATACGAGTCTTCCGTCATCAGCCCCTTGTAGAAAGACTTTTTAGTTTTGCAGAAATAGTGAACACACCTCGAACGCATAACAATCCCACTGCACTTTATTTCTTAATCAACCTTTTCTAGATAAATCTGCAACTGGAATCTTGGAATCTGGAATCTCTGTAGTACTTTTTAGAGGTATTCCAATCAGAGCTGTCACAAATACTGGTAAATAGTATTTCAAATACCAAGTAGGTATCAATTACGGGAAATTCATGTTGCAAGTACAAATACTAAATACTTTCAATTTGAAAAGTACTTCAAGTTTCAAGTACTTTAATTTAGTATTTGATTTTTTCAAATAAAATAATTCAATAACTCTGTAAGTATTTCAAGTACTTAATTAAATATTTGAAATACCTATGTGTATTTGAAATACTAAGAAGTACTTCAAGTACCCACTAAAAAGGAATTCAAATTATTCAATGATTTTTTTTAAATTGTATTTAAAGCTGAAAATACTTGTAATATCTCTAAAAAAAGTACTACAGAGATTCCAGATTCTAAAGATTCCAGATGCAGATTGTAGTTACTTTCAATTTAACGATTTGAAGTTTATCTAGAAAAGGTTGATTAAGAAATAAAGTGCAGTGGGATTGTTTTAATGATTAAAAATCCAGGTAAATTTAATATCGGGTTAAATTCAAAGTTCATGTCGAATGAGAGTTTATGAAATTCTGAGATAGGAATGTGAAATCGGTTTCCCTCTAAAATTAACCGTTTAGGTTTTACATCCTATCAAACACATGAAATCTGCTCAGAATTTTAGTAGAATCCAAATATTGCAATTACAGGTAGAGTGCCTCATTTAAAATAAGCAAGTTGACGTCTACTTCCGGTATAACCGGAAGAGCCACCATCTTGAAAATATTTTAGCCGGGTTGCCCCCATTGACATTGGTATACTGTCAAATTTTCAAAGATTTTCTGCATACAGTTTTTCATATACCTATATCGATTTGGATTCCGGTGGGACAACCTATTGAAAGTTTACAACAGTGACATCAGTCAAATGCCCAGTATTTGAATTACTTTTTTTGTAAATCCAAATACCAAATACAAATACTTTATTTAAAGTATTTGCAAAATCAAGTACAAATATCTAAAAACAAAAGTATTTGAATTAAAGTACTTCAAATACTGAAAAGTAATTGAAATACATTTTCCAACTATTTTACTTGAAGTACTGACAGCTCTGATTACAATATACAGGGTGTTCCTAAATATCATGTACAAATGGAAGGGGTTGATTCTTTCGCTTATTTTATGACTAAAATTTCTAATAAACATAGGTCCGCAAACGCTTGGTTACCGATCTACAGGGTGTTAAAATTTCAATATTTGTTTAGTGTTTTCTTTATAGCCCCTGCAATTTTTGAGGGATTTAGCTCAAATTTGGAATATAAGTTACGCAATAGGAGCTAAATGATTGCACGTGTCGAACGTTTGCCAGAATTTACAGGGTGAAGTTTTTTCAGGGGTCATGCCCCTTTTCTTGCCTTAACTTTTTCGCGGTGCGCTGCTGGTCGATTATAAGAAACAAAATAATTTTTCTACCTTATTCAGAAACTTCTTGTTTTCTTGTAGTTTTTTTGTATCACCGACCCTTATCGAGAAAAAAATTAAAAGACCAATCTCTGTAATGTGCTAGATGAAACTACTGTGACTCAATAAACCTTTTCTACCTACAATGACGACAATAGAGGTCCCGCCGCCATATTTTTGCTCATTTTCAATAGGAACCTAGAATTAAGCCACGCCTTCGCCGCTAATATTCTTGCACATTAAAATTTGAACACCCTGTAGAGCGGTAACGAAGCGTTTGCGGACCTATGTTGATTGGAAATTTTAGTCCTAAAATAAACCAAAGAATCATTCCCTTCCGTTTGCACATGATGTTTAGGAACACCCTGTATATTTTCAGCTTTCAATAGTTTTTAAAAAAAAATTGAATAATTTGAATTCCTTTTCAGTGGGTACTTGAAGTACTTCTTAATATTTCAAATACACATAGGTATTTCAAATATTTAAATAAGTACTTGAAATACTTACAGAGTATTTGAATTATTTTACTTGAAAAAATCAAGTACTAAATTAAAGTACTTGAAACTTGAAGTACTTTTTGAATTGAAAGTATTTAGTATTTGTACTTGCAATATGAATTTCCCGTAATTGATACTTGGTATTTGAAATACTATTTAAATACCAGTATTTGTGACAGCTCTGTCCTTATCCTTACATGTTACATGCTTTTAGAAAAATATGCGGATACACACTCAGTGCGCACTGATTGACAAATGGAAATCGCCAAAAGAATCAAGGAGCGAATGTTGTGCAAGAGACACAGATCTGAAGGCAAAGAAATTTTGACCGTAGTTGGTACTGTGATATGGTTGATAAAAGGTTGGGATGTTTCTCGTATTAAAAGTTGTTACATATAAACTGATGCTGGAAGTGAGATAGGGACACTCAACAAGGGAGTTGAGAATTTTAGAAAGGAGTAGGTCAATATACTTCTTCTTTCTTGAAGTGGTGACATATTTAGCCATTGATATATTTTTTGTTTTACTCAGTGTCTCTGTAGAATTTGAAATGAATATGATGCATAAATTTCTTCTGCACTCGCTCAATTCTGTCGATATAGAGAGCATATAGGTACTGAAAGTCCCATACTGGCATAATCCAAGAGACTTCTAGCAAGATTACAATATAGAATTTTAATGGAACGTACAGTAACAAAGTCAGAAGTATTACGTTTAATGAATCTCAACATTCTCAGTGGTTTACCAATGATTGATGTTGTGTGAGAGGCAAATGATGAAGATAAGAATAATTCCAAGATCCTTTATGTTTACAACTGGATGGTAATGTTGCACCATTATAAATAAGATAATAAAAGTTAATTTTAACTGTACAACGAGAAAATAATAAAATATAATGAGATTGTCATTGGATTGCACTTAGAAACATTACCATGCATACCTACTACTATCACGACACTAAGCCACAAATCTTTGGATATCCTCCTGCACAGCAATGTAGTCGTTCAGCTTAGACATATTACTCTATACCTACATTTTTGATCGTCTGAAAATAGAGGAAACTCCGTTAGACAAGAAAATTCATAATTTTTACAATTTGAATCCTATTCGCAAGGTAGCTGCGTGGGAATCCAATTCCCATCTACGAATCGGTAGAAAAATGTGACAGTTAACTACCTAGATATATCAATCATGTCCATACCATGGGATGTGTGTCCATCCAGAAAAAGTATAACAGGAAAATTATTTTTCATAACAATTAACCAAGGATGAAATTATTAACAGTAGGTACCTACTTATATATTGACGATGTAGGTAGTCTAAAAAGGTTCCTTTATAAACTAAAAGTAGACTTATTTAAAGTTCGGCCCTCGTATTTCAACGAAATAAGTACCGTTGTCCTAATAATTTTGGACTCATTCCAAATACGAAATATCCTTTCTCTCTAAACAGAATCTGGAAGTGCGAAATTAGCGACTATTATTGCTCGCTCTTTATTCATAAATTCTCGGTTCAAGGATTAATATTTGACATTATTAATATTTTGAGTACGTAATAAAATGTTTAATTCTGTTACAAACAAAATACAATGTAGATACTTTGTTGCGCCAGAACTACGAACAAAGAATTAAATAAATCTTGTTTCACTTCCCAGTTTGTTAGGTATCATATGGGCAATTTGAATTAATAGTTGAAATCATGTGCATGTGATTTATAATGCGCACATGATTTTAAAATATGACTGTTACAAACGATGCAATTTAATTAATCGAGGGCAAATTGCTGCGCAAAAAATCGATCCTTGTCGACTAGTCCAGCAAATATGGACAATTATAGCGACCTTAATGCATGGAAAAATGCATGTTAACTCTGGAAATAAACCTTACTGTATATTTTTTGAGCGATATGAAATTCCCCCATGGTAATTTTATTTTCAAGATGTGGAGTTTCAAAAGTTCATGTTTCTGCATTTTCACTTCCGAGTTAGCGGAAAGAAAAATGCTTTTCAGTCCTCATTTCCCTGATTTGTTTTTTATTTCTTGAAGTTTTTATTCAAACTGCATGGATAAGTAGGTGCATAATAAACACTTCACATTTACCGGAGTTGTGCCAGCCAAATTAAGTAGGTACAGTTGTTTTCAATAGTCACAATGGAAGTATAGTGAAAAAGTGTTACACATATGTATTTACGTATTCTAGGTTGTTTCAGATAGGCGCCTACTAAAAATTAAAAGAAATACCTAATTAATGTGTTTTTATTTTCAAAAATAAATTCAAATTTGATAAAACATAAAATTACGAAATTACTGAGTACAAATAATTTGATGTAGAAAGTAGAAACAGAATAAATAGAATGATTATTCACTCATTGAAGACTGGTAATTTATTATTAAACATTTATTTATGTAACCAGTTACAAAGTCTCATATTGTAGGTTCTAGGACTCTAGGACACAAAAGTTCCATAAAATGGAATTCCGTATAATGAGTCTGATACCAGGTTTTTTTTTCCAAATTTTGATTTCTTGATGTTCTCTCTTCCTTTTCATTCTTTGAACAGCTTCAGGATTTTGATCTATACTTTTTCTTCCTACTTTTTCTATCCTCAGACCGTCCTCTAGATTCAGTTCTTTCACTTTTTAACCAATGATTTGAACTATTTCTTGATATTTCGCTCTCTTTGTCTTTTGACCTGCTTCTTGATTGTCTACTTTTGTGAGAATATTTTTTGGTATATTCACTGGAAGTTGCAGCTCTACTAAAACCATCATCATCTTTAGAATCTGACTTTTCTTTAAAACTCTCCAGGTTCTTGTCAGATAATTTTTTATATTGCTGATATTTTGCATTATCTAAAAGGAATTTCTTTTATTTGGAATGAACAAATGTTGTGAAAGATAACTTACTTAAAATTTTAGAACCCTTCGAAAATTCTTCCTTTGTCACCGGTACCAACATGAGTTCATTGATATTGATTATATCCCCTTTAGGATATACTTTCATAATAACCCTTCCCGTTTCTTCATCAAAACCTTGAATCTGAAAACAAATTTGGATAGATTGTATCACCATATTCAAAATTGATATTCACCTCGCCATAGTTTCCGTTTTGTGGCCCCATAACAGCCTTCGCAAAACCCCCTTTCACCAAAGTTAATTCTTTTCCATCCTTATCTGTAGCTTTCTTTTCTGATACTTCAACTTTTATCGCTCCAAGACCAAGACCTTTAGGTCTTAATTCTGGTATAGTAACAGCAGCAGATTTTGTTACATTTTTTCCAATTGCCATGCCATCTTTCCAACCCATGCCTCTAAGAAGTGCAAGACCATAGTCACCAATCGGAACAGATTCATAGTCTTCTAAAGTTGGTTCTTTTTCTCCAGTGGAAGATGTTGGTTCTTCTATGAGAGGAAGAACTGATACTTTGTTGTTGTTTGATTTCTGACTATTTTCTAAATGTGCTTCAGCATCTAAAAATATTATTATTGTATTTATTTTTGATCTTTACTTAACATGTGCGTTATCTGTTTGTGTTTATTATAGTCGCTTGCCTCTCATCAGCTCTCTGGCAGCTAATTCATCAGCAGTTAGTTCAGAATCAGGACGCGTGTCTTCTTTTTCCTTTTTCGTATCCCATTTCTTAGCGGCTTTGATACGATGAAGCAAATTCTTTTGGTTATCTTGGAGGGGAATTACCAGTGGATGTACTTCTTCTACAACTGCACTATGGAGAAGATAAATTGGTTAGATTAACTATAAGTAGTATTTTTCTCAAATGAAGTCAAACATCTCCAAAAGGAATCATGTCAAGTCATAGTAACTTTTTGATTTCATATGTGAAGTTAATTTCTAATAATTGAATGAAATAACTTAATCTGGATAAAAATTGTCAATTTGATATGTTGTGACTCACAAAGAAAGGCATGAGCGTTTATATGGACTTGTTTGAAAATGATTTCTTCATTGCTGACCAGCAAAAAACACCAATAAACGTTCTTCACTGGGAATATTTGCTGTCAAATTACAAGAAAGGGTACAAGAGCATTGGCTCAAGAATTCACCTAGTTTTATGAAATTTCACACTAGCACCAGTACATACACTTAATTTGAAGTCCGCAGCACAGAAGATAGAGGACTACGCATGAAGGGGGAGAAAAAGCAAATGCAACAAAAACTCATAGTGGATTTAAGAACCTAGCAAACTTACTAAAACGACCAACAAATACAAAATAGCCTGCGGAGGAGTTATGTTTGTTCAAGCACAGGGTGGCATGAACCATTCTATGCATTGTTGTTGAACTTGTAGCATTCTTTCGGTCCCTTATGTTTCATGCTGCGGACTATAAAAAAAATTTGTTTTACTTTTTAATGCAATGGTATTGACAAGTTTCTCTTCAATTATTATTCTTCTAAGTAGGTGTAGGAAAATAATAATTATACAATCATATTTTGAATACAATAGGTCTCGCAATAGGTTAAACACTAAACATAAATAACAAACTACTTACTCTTTGATTTTAATGGAGTGTTCTTCAAGGCATTCAATTATTTCACCCTTTTCCTCGGGTTCCTTTGGAGCAGAAGTGTTAAAAATGATGTTTGTTTTTTTGGATGATTTTGTGAAACTGAAGGAGATCTTGGGGGGTTCCATTTCAGATGACAAAACAATTTACAATTTAAATGTATTTATTTATGCATGTACCTATCCATATTTTTATTCTGTTAACAATAACGAACAATTTTTTGTTCCAGAAGCAAAATTATGAAGATTACCTAATAATACAGAAACTACAGTCCACACCAAACATTGCAAGTCGGAAAGAAAGGGGATGTAAGGACACAGGTCATGCTATATGTCTTATGATTCACCTTAAGTTATTTTAGGAAAATGAAAATAATCTCCATACTTTGAAGGAGAGCAAAAACCTTTCAAATAAATTTAGAGCCAGAACAGAGCTGCTTTCCAGTGTCTAAATTATTAAAGTAGTACCTATGCTCTGGAATGTGACACTCTGTCTCTCTGATCAAAAAATGTGATTTGTAAATTGTTATTGTTTTCCTATTTCTACTTTACCAAGTACGAAGTACGCCTATTTGTGACCACAAATTTTTTCCCTGGTAGAATCTCCTATTGCTTGGACTACTATAGACTGCATAAACAAAAACAAACTGATTATTTTTAGCATTTAAAATTCATCGAAATTGTCGAACCGAACAATATCCAGGAATCAATTTTCTAATTGTATATTTTTAGCTGGTAGGTATAAACAAATGTTTGGACTTTGGTGCCTGCTATTGTTGATTGCTTGTTGAAGTTTATATAAAGTAAGCGTAAGCATAGATTTAGAGGCAATTGAGGGAATATGATGTAAATATTTTATTTTTATGAATGCTAGCTAGAAGATCAGAAGAATTAAGTTGAAAGTTAACCACCTTCCTTATCTCTTTTGTTATTTTCTGTATAAACAGATAAACGCCATAACGAACAGATGCGTGGTGCAACAAACACTTTTCGAAAGGAATAAGCGCGTGAAGCCCCGGAGCTGTTCCGGAGCTCCTCATAGGTGTGAAAGGAATACAACTATTATTGGTGCGTACGATTTGTCTGAACCGGTTAGCGTTAGTGCGGTGCAGTTATGTTTTGGAACGCAACCATCTAAACTACACTGGAAAATGAACGCTGAACGGTACGAATGGTGTAAAAAGTGCGACATAATCACGGGTCAGGGTAAAAAGTGTCAATATTTCGGACTTATCGTACCACCGTATTATTATTTTTGAAATGTTTTTGCAACGTTGTCAAACTGCGCAAACCAAGGCTGCGTTCGATAACTTGCTATGTGGTTGTGAGAGCGGATGTATAAAATAAAAATCACGCACAAATTGCAAGTCGGTCTGTACTTACCATTGGTACTTATGTCTGGCTAGTGGTAACTTGGTAGAGACGAAAGGGGGAAGAAAAGTGGGGCGTTACCTAAAAATATTCACTGACAGTTCAACTGACACCGCCTGATGACAGCCATGTCTTTGAGTTCAGTGGCACCGAAAACACCAAGGAAATAAACCAATAAAATTATTAGAAAAAAGATCATCTAGTTTCGCCAATAACCACGCCACTGCGTGCTGTCGTTCAGACTCTAACCAATAGAATCATGCCTCTGAATAATCACGCCTCTCCACATCCATCATTTCGCAATGTTGCCTGATTTATTTCCATTTTAAAATACTACACATGCCCATATAGCAAAAAAAAATATGTCACCAACTTGTTTATTATTTTGTTCCTAATTTCCGTCAAGTTTGGCAAAGCAGCAAATTCTATTGGAGTTCGCCGTTTCGCTAGCCGGACAATACTAATGGTGCGAACGCACATCACCTCCGTCCCATTTTTGTTTCTTCAGCCGAGTTTAAGACATTATAGGTGAAAAAACGAATTCCTAAACGTTAAAATTTTGTTTAAATCACCTTTTCTACTTTCTACATTTAAAACCGACGAAAAAATTAACTCACAAGCACAACCTGATTCACAAGCATCCCATTAAGGTTTGCGGGTGACGTCACCACTATAAGCTGCTGATATTGGTGACGCCACTCGCAGGCCCTGCCGAATCGAGATTTTGGAACGTACGCCTTATGAGGATGAGCAATCCTAGTTTAGGATTCTTGAGCCTATCCTATTGATCCAAATCTGTGACCCAATATGGCGGTCTGGGGCAAACAATTTCGACAAGTCAGGTAGAATTTTAACTTGCTATTCCGAATGACTGGCACTGCGAAAATAGTTATTTACCTAACAAATGCGGAAAGTGATACTTTACCGCACGCAACGGCAGCCGTTAAGGGCGGTAAAGGCACTTTCCGCATGTGTTAGGTACAAAATTTTACCTATGAGCATCTACATCTCCAAAAAAGGGCATTGATAAAATTAATTATTGAATCAGATTGATGAATGAAATTAGATTAGATTTAGAAATTGTCAAAAATCCATTTTCTGGAAAAAAAAATGATTTTTGATTATAAATATCAAATTCTACTTTACCGCACACTATGCGGTAAAGTGCACTTTACCGCACACTTTGTAGTCCACTTTACCGCATACTATGCTGTAAAGTTCACTTTACCGCACACTATGCTGTAAAGTTAACTTTACCGCATAGTGTGCGGTAAAGTGCTACTTTCCATTTGCAAATACGTGCGGTAAAGTGCACTTTACCGCACGCTCGTAGGTAAAAACTTTTATCGCGGTTTGAACCAAACGGCTTCCACAGCCAACCACAACACGTGTTGTAGGCTTTTTACCCTTCGAGGTCCTTAGAACAAATGTAAACAGTGAAAAAATCATTAACACACAGCTTGCCGACCCCAGTGTCACGATGCTAATTGTAAACAATTTTCCTTTTCTTCTATTCTCTGAATTCATTCTTTAACTTCTAATATATGTACCTCATTTATTTAAAGTAGCATCTCAATTACTATCTAGGTACCTACCTACTACATTTTAGGGAATTTTCATATTTCTCAATTTATTTTTTTCTAGATACTTCTAGTAATCAGATATTACATAGTTTTCTTTTTTTCCATTCAAATTAATACGTTGTACGAAAAAAAAATTATTGCAATTCAAATCAAAAACTTGGGCGCGAAAACGTGAAATTTTAATATGACAGCTCTCATGACGTCAATATTTTGTAAACAACAAACGCAGCAAACGAGCTCCTGCTGACGCAGTGCTATTTTTGTGTTATTCAAGTGTGTTAGAGTTTTCTTTTTGTGGACATTGTGGCAATAGATGAAGAATATTGTAAAGGACCGCTTTCGTAAATTCTATTTCACTTGCAAGTTTTCTATTGACAAGTTTGTTTACAGAATCGTGACGTCAAAAAGGTAGCCATCATGAAAGCATTGTTTTGGCGGGAAATTTTTTATTTCAAATTTTATGTTATTTTTTGTGTAACAAGGGCGGTATCAGTTAAATAAAAACTGGTCATATAAATATTGTGCAGTATAAACTATCGATTTAAAAGAAATTTGGAAAATTTTAGTTCACTTGCAAGTTCCCTATAGTGCGATATTGACTGACTGAGATTGCCAAGACTGCCCTCTTGGAGTTTTGAACATGCCTTTTTATACGCGATTTTTGCGTCATTTTTGACCTCGGCTCCCACGATATTAGATTTATTAGAAACTCCTTCCTTTCTGAACCTATAAAACCCGGCTGGGTGGCGTCCCCACTATCAGCAGCTTATAGTAGTGACGTCACCTGCAGACCTCCATGGATTGCTTGGGATTGGCTGTGTTTGTGGTGAGTTGATTTTTTTGTCGATTTTTGTACGTTTGTTGAGAAATTATTGCAAATAATCAGGCCTATGATGTATCATTTTCTGGTATTTTAACCGCAACGTTAAGTTATCTGTCACTGTTTATTCTACACTTAAAAATAGAGACAGGTATAGATTTTCAGCTATAACACAACTGTTAAAATAACAGGAGAGGATACATCCATAGGCTCGAATAGCGAAAGACCAATCAAAATTAGAATTAAAGAATATTTTGCGATATCATACAAATTCCAATTAAATGGTGGACACCTACCTTGGTCGATGATGTTCTGAATTCTGCACGTGTAGGAGGGCTCTCCAGAATCCAGTTGGTTACAGTAAGACAGCACAAAGAAGTACGGTGAAGTCACGATCAAAAGTTGAAGAATAAATTTGCGATAGAAGTGAATTTTTAGGTATTTTCTTTCTTGCGCGGATTAGCCGTACCGGTCGCAAGCTGATATCGATTCGTTGTACTTATTCGGGTTTTCTAATGGTAGGTACCTATTGTTCGTCGATTTTTAACTGACACTTTCCGTATGAGGAGCGAGGGGATGTTTCATATGGCAAAAACAGGCGTGACGTCAGGTAACCAATGGCGTTCTAATGTAGGGAGCCACCAGCTCACATTCCGTCCGAGTATCAGATTAAAATCGTCGGACAATATATGTCCTCTTCGGTAGGTAAAAAATACGCGTATGCGCTCATCTCGGTGTCAATTTTTGAATGACAAGGTTGAGCGCGAAATTATTAAATGATGAATTTATTTTATTTCTTTTACTTGCACGTACAATTTTAAACGTAGAAAAGGTGGTTTCAACGTTTAGGTATTCCATTTTCTTTGACTTATGTCTAGTTTTGTAAACTCGGCTAACAAACAAGAGTTATGGTCTGCGGCTGACCTCACAAATAGTGGCGGTGGGGAGTTGTCGCGTGGACATGGACAGGGCAATCCAATAGCTCTTTTTACGTGGCTTCGATTTAACAAACCGCAACATACCGCTCAAATTCAAGTGGTATCGATGACGTCACTTTCTAACTGGGTTAGGAAACGGTATGTCTATACAGGGCCGTAGCGATATGACTATCCCTACGGGGGGAGACTAAGATCCGGCGCCCCCTAAGCGCCGTGAAGGCAATCCAAAGGTGAAGAAAAATTTATTGGTGACCACACCCAAATTTTGCCAATTTTAAGTAAATATGGGTATAATTTCATTTAATGAAAAATTAGATCAAAATGTTGTATCACCAAGGGCGGGTATTATAAAACTATTCTGACTTATAACTCAAAGTTAACTTCTGGAATTGCAATGAGAAGTAACGTCATTTCTGTCATTCCTGAAGTTAACTTTCAGTTATTCGGTCAAAATAGTTTTATAATAGGCAATTCTTCGTGAGGATAACCAAGCAAAATCTTTTGCTGGATTATGTGATGTGTCATTTGTGTCATACTGCCCTAACTCCCCCACCATCAAATTCTGGGATACTCGAGGATCAAGAACACTTAATTTCTTCTGTGAGAATAAGCCGAAAATCACCTTTTCTACATTTGAAATTGACGAAAAAATTAAGTCACTAGCACAGCCTGAATCGCAAGCATTCCATAGAGGTCTGCGGGTGACGTCATCACTATAAGCTGCTGGTAGTGACGTCACTCGCAGGCTCAGAATTTGATGGAGAGGGAGTTAGGGGAGTATGACACAATTTACACATCACCATTATAAAGCATACTCGAGTATGCTTGATTATCCTCGCGAAATATTGCCTAATATTCGCCCTAAAAACTTATGTATTGAATGAGACTTTATCTATTGCCAATTCGATTTCCTGATTTTCTTAGATAGTTTCAGGTGAAAATAATGAAGTAAATATTGTAGATTTCCAAAATAAAAACACCAAACTTTTTGAATGTTTATTTTGATTCAATTTCTTTGTTTTTTGCACTTTGCCTATTTTGGCGCCCCTTTGCCAGCTGCGCCCTGGGGGGGAGGCTCCCCCGTCTCCTCCCCTGTTGGCTACGCCCCTGTGTCTATAGTTCTCGGACACGAATACGCAAAAATCCTCCAATCCCTATTCATGTTCACATTTAGACAGCTGTTGAGTGATCTAACCCAACTTTTTTCTGCTTGTTTTAAAAGGGCCCCACACACTACGTTCTTTCTCGTCGGTTTTCATCGCCACGATGAAAACACGACGGTTTTCTACCACACACTTAGGTTTTGGAACGACGTGTTTCATCGTGGCGATGAAAACCGTCGTGTTTCATCGTAGTGTATGGGGCCCTTAACTTATAGGCCGGCATGCACACACGTTTTTTGCGCGGTTTATCGTGGCATGTTGGGATTTG